GGTGACCAGCGGCGGCGGCCAGAAGGAGGGCGGCGGCGGCGGCGGCGGCTGGTGACGGCGGCGTGAAGAGGCGGCGGCGGCGGTGGCGGCGCGGAGGCGCGGCGGCGGCGGCGGCTAGGGTTAGGATCTTGCTGCGATAGATACCATGTAGAAGGACAAGTTATGGGCTGTGCAATCTCAATGTATTGATCGGTGCACCAGACACGTATATATAAGTACAGAGGTGGGCCACAACCTCAACTATACAAGGAAACAGGAGGTGGGCCCTACACACATATACACGTACATAATATACTCAACAATCTTGATCACATCTTCAACTTTGTGAATAGGCAGAGAAACCAACGACAAACCTGCTTAATTGGAGCACGCATGAAAACAATATGTTTCTAACCAGTATTAGGTGGACAATCAGCAGAGAAGCTTGGTAATTTTGTCGCTTCTTTTCGTGATTAATCAATTGCGTAATTACGTATACTAGCTAGCCTCAGACATTGCTCTGTTTTAAGGGTCTTCTATCCAGTTCATTCTCAGGGTGATTGTAAATGGACCGTGAATCCTGTACAAGTCGCATCGACGTCCTGGAGAGGCTTCTACTTGATGAAAGTGCAGAACCCACAAACCTGCCATTATCCCTCCTACAAGACATCACAAACCATTTCTCTCTTGATCACCAAATTGGGAGCGGCGGGTTTGCGATGGTTTATAAGGTACCACACAACTAGATCCCATCAACTAGTTTCTTCAATCCTAGTCACAGTCAATCTATAACACTAAACACACGAGTTCCTGTTAACAATGTATTTTGTCACCGTAGGGAGTAGTCGGGAAAGGTATGGTCGCTGTTAAGAAGCTGTCAAACACGTTTGCTATTCAAGAGAATAAATTCCATGAGGAGGTTAAGTGCCTGATAAAGGCCAAGCACAAGAATATTGTACGGTTTCTGGGGTATTGCTCTGAAACAAAAGGTAAGATGGAAGAGTACGAGGGGAATCTTGTCATGGCAGATCAGCGGAACTGGCTGCTCTATTTTGAGTACGTACGCAATGGGAGTCTTAATAAGCACATTACTGGTAGGATGACAATGTCTATTCCCAATTTCCCATCTTTATTTACTATGTTAATAGTTACTTAAATACATAGTTTGTCATGCACTTACTTTTCCTAGCATTCACAGATTTACGTATCTCGGGCGCTCCTTGTGTGCAGATTCAACTTGTGGACTTATTTGGACGGAGCGGTATCAAATAATCAGGGGGATATCTGACGGTCTACTTTTTCTCCACAAGAAGAGAATTCTTCACTTGGACCTGAAGCCTGCTAATATATTACTAGATGCTTACATGGTACCCAAAATTGCCGATTTCGGCCTGTCAAGATGCCTTGGTGAAGATCAAACCCGTTCTATTACTCAAAACCTACAGGGGACACTGTAAGCTACCCTCTTGAAAGATTTTTATTTTATTAGGTATGATTACTTTACATAGATTGGCTCAATAAATCTTTTCACAGGGGATACATGGATCCGGAGTACCTCAGATCAAGACATATCACATTCTCGTCAGACATATACAGTCTTGGTGTTATAATAATGGAGATACTGAAAGGAGTGAGGCAGTATCTTGAAGATGAATATGTAAGAATAATTTAGGCATTTGCTACAAGTTGAATTGTAGATTTTAACTAATTTATTTTTGTACGTTTTAACTTGGCAATATCATTCCTTCTTTTTTAGTTCTTTCCTATATACCTATTTCTTATATCCACTTGTGCTCTTCGCTACATAAAACAAAGCCTAATAATACATCTGGAAGTATGTACTATGTAGTCCTGCATTTTGATACATAGCACCCAAACGAACTGATCATTACTCATTTATCATGTTTTGTATACATCAGTTGTAATTTTAATATGTACCAGAATGTGAATTGCATGAACAGAAAGCCAGGTGCACTTAGTTTTTCTATGTACCCATTTTCTGTACCACACAAATGAAGATAAAAATATGTGGACTGAAATTAAGTAGCTCCCATTAAATAAAATCATTACGGTCCTTATTTTTAGGATTTCCAGCATTTTTTCTCAAATACTGTAATGTAATAGTCACATATATCATCAAATTATATATATAAATACTAACTCGTGACTGCAACCTTATAGGTAGTTGAAAATTGGATGATTCGGTTGGAGGCATCAGAGGGGGACATGCAGTTGGAACAAGTAAGAGTATGCTATAAGATAGCGATAGAGTGCATGGACTTGGACCCAAAGAAGAGGCCAACTGCACAGCATATAGTCAATATGCTTGATAAAACGGCCAATGCTAGCTATTCAGACGGAACTAGCATTGGCAGTTCATTATTTCAGCTGCATGTACCAAGAGAACAATCTGGAGAAAAAATTGAAAAACTCTCAGCCGAGAGCCTCCAGGAGGAACACTCTGAAATATTGGAAGATGTCATAGAAAGTATCGACCTTCATTTTCAGGAAGGCCAACGGAAAGTAGACGAATTACCATTTTGTGGAGTGCAAGAGACGAAGCAAAAGGTTAACTGTAGTGGCACGGGCATTTCTAACTCTTATCTCTAATGTGTTCTACAACTTGGACATCTTCAACAGAAAAGCAAACAGGGACCATCCTCGCCCATTAGAAATATCACACACTGTAAAGGTGTTCAGAAATGAGGAGGTCAAGCCAATAATAAGGGGTATCAATTTTATTGGAAGAGGTGGCTTTGCTGAAGTTTACAAGGGCGTTCTTGACAATGCATTGGTTGCGGTAAAGGTACTGATTAGTCGAAATAGTTCAGGTAATGCCCGATTTGCGAATGAATTCACCATCGTACGTTAGATCAGACACAAGAATATTGTTAAACTCATAGGTTGTTGCCTAGTAGTAGATCAACCCATGCTAGTGTTCGAGCTCGTCTGCAATGGGACCGTGAATGATATCCTTCACGGCGGCAACAAGGCTCCCCTAAAGTTGGATTTCCGTTTAACTGTTGCTGCAGAGTCAGCACAGGGTCTAGCTTATCTGCATTCACAAACTCATATGAAAATATGGCATGGTAGTGTTAAACCGGCAAATATACTCTTGGATCAAAACTTTATGCCAAAGATCGCAGGCTTTGGGATATCGAGGTTGATTACAGAAGATAAGGAACACACTTGCAATGTCATCGGTGACTTGAGTTATATGGATCCAGTATACCTGAAAACAGGTCTGCTGACCTTGAAAAGTGATGTCTACAGTTTTGGAGTTGTGATCTTGGAGCTCATTAGCAGGAACAAGCCGACTCATTCTGTTAATAACAGACTAGTGAGGAGGTTCCTTTAAGTTCACAAAGAAGGGAAGAAAGCAACCGAGCTGTTTGACAAGGAAATTGCAGTAACAACAGAAGATTTGGAAATTCTCGACTGTCTTGCAGTGATTGCTGTGGAATGTCTTACCCTTGATGTGGATCAGAGGCCCACGATGACAGATGTCGCGGAGCGCCTTCTCATGCTGAACCGATCTCGTAGGTCGCAAGCTGTTTAGCTATATACAAGTTGATGCATGCATATTGTGGTGCGAACAATATTCATGCCCTGGAATAAGGTAGGCCACTATTATTACTATCAGCGCTTGATTTATTTCGCTGTTGTATAGAACATGATGTATGATGCAAATCTGCTTCTTCCTTTGTTCAGAGAAAGTTTGCTGTTCAGAAAAAAAATGCATCGAGTAACGGGGGCTAACCAATGCGTCAAGATTCCTTTGTTTCTTTCGCGCTGGAGCGAGATGCAAAGGAAGGGGGACCCAAGCTTAACGGAGGATGTTCACCGCGGCCTACTCCGGCGATCTCGGCCAGGCTTTGTCTCCATGCCTGAAGAACTTCTGTTCTGTTTTCTCAAGTTGGGTACTGCCCCCTTCTGGATGGATCTGGAAAGCTGGCTCTACCCAAGTTTATTTTGCTTTTCTCTGTCAAGGCCGAGTCGCGCTGATGAACAGATCAATTTCTGGGAAAGGAGTCGCAGATTCCCCTACAAGCACGGTCTATTATTATTTTTCCTTCTTTCTCACAGGGGCGCACGGAAATATGACTTCAAAACCAGCATTAGTATTGCTGCTCCCTCCCATGTCGATTTTAAGCCTTTTTTTACAGGCTGAAGAACTTTAGATTTTTTTCACGTGGGTTATTTGACTTGTTGGATTATAAATGTGGCTTATGTAGAAATTTTCTCACGGACACAATCATACCGGAGATATTCCTTTGTTGAGAGCATGAGAGTATGGTATAATACATAAAAAAACTAGATATATGTTGGCAATTCTTATTTAATCTACCGATTAATGGTCAACTGATTAATCCAGTTAATAGGCCAATTCACCGATTAATCACTACTCCCAAGCTGGCCGAGCAGCTACCAGTTACCGATTTCTTGAACAATGCGTATTTCTATGGATGTGCGGTATAGAATTTTTTCTCATTGACTCATCATACCGGAAATATCCCTTTGTTTTGAAATTGTTGAAATAAACTGTCCCTGAAAGTGAAAAAATGATGCAAAATTACGAACTTCTAGCCTTGAATGTTCTTAAAATCCTTGAAATTAAATAGTCCGTAAAACTGAAAAGAAATGATGTAAAAATTACTAACTTGTAGCCTTGAATCCATATAGAAGCGAATCTCAAATGAATTTACACCGAAAGCTGCTTTAATACAACATAGGAAACATCTGAAACATGTAAGTTCTCTTCAAGAATCAAGATGTTGGAGTAAAATGGAAAATTACCGGGCTGAATCGAAGGAGAACATCCGGTTAATATAATCGGTAACTGGCGGTTCTGTTTTGAGTATGTATGCACCAGGAGTCTTGATAGCCACATTACTGAGGGGTGAGTTAATTAAGCTCGATTGATTAGTGAGTGCCAATTGTTAATCAATTGGCGCTAGCTAATCCTCCCTGGTAGGGGTGGGTGTTCCACCTACCGTTGTTAGTCTACCATGGCTATAGTCATTTCATTATGGTTCTGATAGCTGACACCGCAAGTGACAAATTGCACATTATAATACTAGGACTATTCCACATAGAAATACATGTAATTAGCTAGGCCTTGACGGCAAGAATCAAAAGCAAGGTAGGCAGGAGGCTAGCTCGCTCCTCCTCGCATTGACTTCCATCCATCGACCTTGCCGCTGCGAGCAAGATCGATTTCATAACTCGTAAACAGGGGTTTGCGGAGCATCGAACGATCGCCGTACGTAGCCAAGGTATTTGTGTGTTAATTTGTAGGTTAATTAATCTGTTTTTGCTAGATCTGATTTTCTTCGGATGGAAGGCACCCAGGTTTTGCATTATCATTCTCCCATGTTTCGATTCCATCTTAATTTCCCTCGAAGTCTTCTTGCTAGATAGCAGTTAATTTCCTTGTCATGTCAATCATGCATCTTGGTAAAAGCACCTGTTATTTAATTCATGATCCAGCCAACTCATCCAAAAGTCCGAACTGATCGAGGGAGGCGGGCAATATATTTCAACACCTGTTGGATAAGCTTATATCTTCAAGCCTCTTCATGTCTGGTAAACACCGAATGCTCAAAGTAATTGGCACCAAGCTGTGGTGATTAATTCTCGTGATCACATCTTCAACTCTTTACACACCTGAATTACCCTTTAATTTTCACCACACATGTCAAAAATATGTTTCCACCCAGTATTATGTCGACAAGTGGTGGAGAAGCTGGATCTGAACTGATGCCCAGAACCAGAAGGAAATCATGTTAGGTGTAGACGTGTAGTGCTGGGTACAGTAAACCAGAGTTGTCCCTTGCAGTTGGGTATACTGAAATAAATCTAGACAAACATGCAGTTGGGTAAATTCTACAGCTGTGCCTGATGCACCAGATCTTCATTCTCTAACCGTTCCTTTCACGATTAATTAAGTGTGCCATTATGTGTATAGGGGATAGCCTCACTATAAAATAAATACATTGCACTTGCTTTAAAGGTGTTCATTTCATTTCATTTGCAGTGATTGCAAATGGCTAGTGAAGCCAGTACAAACCACGTTGACATCCTGGAGAGGATCCTGCTTGATGAAAGCGCCAAGCCGACTAACCTGCCTTTATCACTTCTAAAAGACATCACAAATTGTTTCTCTGTTGATCACGAAATTGGCAGCGGCGGGTTTGCGGTGGTTTATAAGGTACCACACAAGTGGATCCCATCAGCTAGTTTCTCCAATCCTAAGCAAGCATATCAGATATTCACACCACCGCACGCAGATAAGTTCTTTTTAACAATGTATTTTGTCACCACATGGATTTGTCGGGAAAGGCATGGTGGCTGTGAAGAAACTATCAAACACGTCTGGTATTCATGAGAATAAATTCCAGGAAGAGGTTAAATGCCTGATAAAGGCCAAGCACAAGAATATTGTACAGTTTCTGGGGTATTGCGTTGACACGCAAGGTAAAATGGAAGAGTATGATGGTAGTCTTGTCATGGCTGATGAACGGAATATGTTGCTCTGTTTTGAGTATGTATGCAACGGGAGTCTCGATAAGCACATTACTGGTAGGATGACATCTCTGTTCCCATTTTTATTTACTCTGTTAAGGGTTATTTAAATGCAGACATGTTGTATACTTATTTTACTCAACATTCATAGGTTTATGTGACATTATAGCCATTTGCCTAAATTAAGTAAGAAAATAAAAAAAAACATGGCTGCTCCTTGTGTGCAGGTGTGTCTAATGGACTTAACTGGAGGCAGCGGTATCAAATAATTAGGGGGATATGTGAGGGTTTACTTTTCCTCCATGAGAAGCGAATTATTCACTTAGACCTCAAGCCCGCTAATATATTGCTAGATGGTCATATGGTACCCAAAATTGCTGATTTTGGTCTATCAAGATGCCTCGGTCAAGTGCAAACCCGTGCTATTACTCAAAATATATGCGGAACATCTTGAAAGCTCTTCGTTTTGTTAGGCAAACTTTATGTTTATCTACACATTACTTGATCGACTTTATAAATCTTCTCATAGGGGATACATGGGTCCAGAATATATCACATCAGGACAAATCACATTGGCATCAGACATATATAGTCTTGGCGTTATAATAATTGAGATAATGACAGGAGTGAGGCAGTATTTTGAAGATGAGCATGTAAGAATAATTTAGACATCTGCTGGAAGTTGAGTTGTAGATTTTAAATAATTGGGTATGCTTTAAATTAGCAAAATATCATTCCTTATTTTTTCTGAGATTGCTTATATACATATATTTTAAAAACAACCTATCTGGTTGAGTCGTGGGGCATGGCTATACCCACAAGAATCCAAATCATGTTGCTCAGAATTACATACCCGTGTGTGCTCTTCACTACGAAAAACAAAGCATATTTATATAGGTCTGTCTAAGGCTCATCTTGATGTGAGATAGTTATGTCACGTCTAAGTAACATACATAATAGGCAAAAAATTTGCCCCCCTTGTTTCGTTCTAAAACAATGTGCTCTTTGTTTTAGAACGAAACAAGGGGGGCAAAATTTTTCCCTATTATGTTACTTAGACGTGACATAACTATCTCACATCAAGATAAGCCTTAGACAGACCTACTATATAAATATGCTTTGTTTTTCGTAGTGAAGAGCACACACGGATATGTAATTCTGAGCAACATGATTTGGATTCTTGTGGGTATAGACATGCCCCACGACTCAACCAGATAGGTTGTTTTTCAAAAATATGTATGTAATTGTCGTTGCTCTTGTCACTGGCTGGGTTTTTTGTTGTTGCACAAAACAAAAAGCTTTTACGTGCTGGATCAAAAAAA